GTACGCCCAGACGCCGTGTACAAACAGACGCCGTGTACAAACAGACGCCGTGTACGCCCAGACGCGGTGTACGCCTAGACGCAGTGTACGCCCAGACGCCGTGTACGTCCAGACACCATGTACGCCAAACACCGTGTACGCCCAGACACCGTGTACGCCTAAACACCGTGTACGCCCAGACACTGTGTACGCCCAGACGCTGTGTACGCCCAGATGCCGTGTACGCCCAGACGCCAACTGCCATATACGTTTGACTCACGCCGGTCCGGCCACTGCAACCCAACACTTTGTCATCTATAGCACATATAACCACTGCAACCCAACACTTTGTCATATATAGCACATATAGCAACTGCAACCCAACACTTTGTCATATATAGCACATATAGCCACTGCAACCCAACACTTTGTCATATATAGCACATATAGCCACTGCAACCCAACACTTTGTCATATATAGCACATATAGCCACTGCAACCCAACACTTTGTCATAAATAGCACATATAGCCACTGCAACCCAACACTTTGTCATATAGCCAATGCAACATTCATGTGTTGTAGAATAGTGTAGGATTGCGTGTTCAGACTTTTTTAAAAAGTTTCTGTTAATTTGGCAGTTTTGAACATCTGGGTTTGTGTGTGTGTGTGTGTGTGTGTGTTTGTGTGTGTGTGTGTGTGGAAAAGGACAAATAAGCAATGGACAGTTCTGGACAGTTCTTTTAGCCATGAGGCACTTGTGATGGCTTCGAAGGGATAAATAAGGTTGTCAAAGAAATCGAGAATGTGTGATGTCTTTCCAAATCCTATTGAATATTATCCTATACAATAACTTGTCCCTTTTACTCTCCTGGCTCATGGCTTCTCTCCAAATGACTGCCCCTTTTCTATCTGTTACTAGGCACCTGTCCGGCATGCAATCAGAGAGACAGTAGTTATGTTCATGTCTTTGAAATACGTGGTTTCATTTGTTACATGATATGTTTGAGAGGTGTAATTTGGTCCTTAACGATGGTTTTCTGTATTCTTGTTTTCCAAATGGTTATTATTGCATTGCCGGTTTTCATCCAGAATTCAATCCAAAAGTTGTGCTATGGCCTTATCATGAAAGCTTCTGGTGAATGAAGTGTTAATGTGAAAATACGGCAGATTTAAAACAAATTCGCAAGTAAATGGCTTCAGTAGACAATGTTATTTTTGCTACTTATTTTAGTAGTGATTTGTGTTAGTGTCACGTATCCAACAGGTGAAGTGTAGAATGCCAGGCAGAGCAAGATATCCACGCTCCGATGGCGTTTAATGCTCAAATTAAAACAACCAACTAGCACGAACGGAAATACTATACATGACATGGAAGAAATGTGCGTTAAAACTTTTACAAACAACAGACAGGACTTTAACAAAAGACACTCACCTACATCAATCACAAGCACCCCGTGAACCTAACCAGGGACCTTAAACTGATTAACTATCCTATGTAACATTATATTAATAACCAGCACCCGTGAACCTAACCAGGGACCTTAAACTGATTAACTAACCTATGTAACATTATATTAATAACCAGCACCCGTGAACCTAACCAGGGACCTTAAACTGATTAACTAACCTATGTAACATTATATTAATAACCAGCACCTGTGAACCTAACCAGGGACCTTAAACTGATTAACTAACCTATGTAACATTATATTAATAACCAGCACCCGTGAACCTAACCAGGGACCTTAAACTGATTAACTAAACTATGCCTGGTGCTTAGCTAAACCCTAAACAGCTGTGCTCCTAATCAACATGATACACAGTAGTGCTCCCTCTACACAACTTGTGACAACCCAGCTCACCCATTGGACAGTTAGTTAGGAAATTGCGCTGTATTTTCAAATGTTGTATACGTGTGTGTGTGTGTGTCCACGCATTCGCGTGTGTGTGTTTGCCAGGTCAGGAGAAATGGAAAAGTTTTTGCACGAGAGAGCGAGAGTAACGTTGTATTCACTCAGCAAATGCTGCTCCCCCCCCGCGCCCCCATCTCCTCGTTCCAAGTTACCACAATACAAAGCGGCTAAGGGCTTTCTCTATTACCTTCGATACATACAGTTGATCAGGCTGGCGCTGTGGAAACTGTAAACTGGATCCATCCAGTAGCCAAGACTAGATGTCCGGTAGAGGTTTATTGCCCAGGATTGGAAATGAACTCCAGGTGTGGTTAGCTAGGAGACATTTAAATGGAGTTGACCCTAGTGGATATTGGTTTGCTGACCCTCCACCATACTATATCTCTGTATCTGCGCTATGTATTCTCATTCTGTTCTTTCTTTCACTCCCTCCTCTTCTAGCTTTTGATTAAGCCCTCTCTCTCTCTTTCTCTTTTTTGTCGTGCCACTACAGATGATAATATTGGGCTTCCATGTTATTTGTGTGTTTGCCAGATGAGGTTGGAGTCATGCTTTACTCTGTGCCAGTGCAGGTCTCTATGTTACCCAGAACCAGCAAGGTGTCATATGGGCACAGAGAGAATAGAGGTACAGTAATAGTATAGCCACACACACACACACACACACACACACACACACACACACACGCCCACAGACGCACACACAGACACACACCCTTGTCATTATATTAACGGGGCGACAGGCGGGCGGGGTGTCAGAAGGTTATAGTGCAGTAGACAGAGTGTCTGCCATTCAGTCAGAAGATCGTTCCATCTAAGGCCCATTGATTTAAGGAAGCCCTCCAGTGAGGCGTGCCGTAGACGATGGATGCCCCCTGACCAGGCACCCTTAGCGGGCACATATGTAAGAATGGTTCCCCTCTCTCCATCCTATAACCTCCCGGTAATGATGGCTGGGAAATGCTAATGCAGAGAAGGAGGGCGTGTCAGTATAACAGTTTAATAAGAGTCCGATGAATGAAAGCCACAGCCAGGTTGGAGTAGAAAAACACTCCAATAGTTTTTTTATGGAAAGATGTGTTAGCTTACATTTTAGTCAGTGATTAATATGTGTGCAGATGCCACTATGTCGCAACAGGGATTTGAACCAGCAACCCTTTGGCTACTCTCTCTACCCTGTAACGGTTAAGCATTCTCGTGTGCCGTGAGCTTGTGCCTGACTCATAGATAACAAAGCCCCCGATGGCAGTTCTTAGCATTCATGCTAAACTTTCTTAATCATCATGCCATAGTTGTGTTATATAAATGTCACATTGTAGCTAATGAATTTTCCTAATGTCATAGTCTTTCCATTAAATAGTGCAAATTATGAGTGGCAGTTAGAAGCTGGGGTCTGTTTTAAATGCTAGTTCATGTTATCTGTATTATCAGATAATGTAGCTTCAGTGTAGTGGAGGGTAAACACATACGCATAATAGCTGCCTTTTCAGTTATTAATAGAGTTTATATATTATGTATATTAGTGGTTTTCAAACCTCTCCTCCGGATACAGTCGACATTTAACAATTTTGTCATAGCCCTCAACTATCTTTTAACATAATTCAAACAAGGGCTTGAGGATTAGTTCACAATTTAAATCAGGTGTTTCAGTTTTGGAAAAGGTGAAATACAAGGACCAGCGGTTTGTCCCCGGCAAGAGGTTTGAGAACCCCTGATTTCCTTTCCCTTCCATGTATTCCGGTTTTCGTCGTGTCATTTTGGAACTGTTAGCATTCACCCACGTGCTGTCTGTCTTCAACCTTTTCATCACTCGCTGTCTTTCTTCGTAGGAGGATGATGACATGAGAAAGCACTAACAAAAATCTTTTGAGCAAGAGTCTTTGGATTTTCTGCAGATTTGCAGGGTGTTGTGTGAAGGTTAAGCTAGCAGCACTCAGGTTTTACATAGCAGGCTTTGTCTCATCTCTGAAAGTAATGGCAGGGTGTTTGTCGGTTGTCACAAAAAAACCTTTTTGAATAACCTTTATTTTGGTTCCAGAATAAACCTTTATACTTTCAGGTTGAACCCTTTTAGATTTCTATGAGGAATCCTTAATAGTTCTATCTGGATCTAGGAAAGATGATTGTGTGGTTAGCTGAAGAGCCGTTTGGGAACCTTTTAGTCCCAAGTGTATGTCTGTGTGCGACCCTGCCTGTGGGTTCTGTGTTGGGATCAGCTCAGGGGATGTGCTTGTTAATTACAGGGTTCTGTTCACTCACCTAAGGCAATGACCTTGATCTGACCTCTGGCTCTTTACCGACCCTCACCGCAAATAGCATAGCTTTCTATTTCGCGTTTGCTTGTGTGTGTGTGTCTTTTTCTTTCTGTCTGTCTCTCCTCTTTCTCAATCACTTTATCTACACTTTATGTTTCCCTCTCCCTCTCTTCCCGTCCACTTTTTTACATGCTTGCTTCCCCCCACCCTCTTTTCCTCTCATCATTCTGTCCGTTTTTTTGAATTGCTGTAGAACGATCAAGACATTGACAGTGCCGGAGGCAATGCATGCGTAAATGTGTGTACGGGAGGGGGGTTGCAGCTTGAGCGCGTGATGCCAGCTCCCCGCCCACGTTGCTGCTAGCTAGCCTGCTGTTCCTGGAAAGCCAGCAGCCAGTAAGTCGCTGTGCCAACCGCTAATAGTACAGTAGCGATGTAGCGGACGGATGCCTGGTGTGTCAGCAGATCACATAGCACATCACACATTGCACATCACACATCACACATAGCACATCACACATAGCATATCACATAGCATATCACATAGCACACGGCACATCCCCACTTCTGGCTCCCTTGTGTTATGTGTGGTGTATTCTTTGAGGCTCCACTTGCACGGCGATAAGCTGCATTATGAACACAGACAACTATGCTGGCTGGAGTTCTTCCTGGATTCACAGGATTGGCCAGCCTGTTTGAAGAACCGACATTCAATCAGACCCCACAGAAAACCTGTGGCTGTTTATAGCTGTCAATTCTCTCCATGTTATGGCGTATATATTTTTTAAATGTAACCTTTATTTAACCCGGTAGGCCGATTGAGAACAATTTCTCATTTGCAACGGCGACCTGGGGAGCAGCTGGGATATGAACCCAGGACATCATAGACACAAAGCATGCACTCTACCACTGAGCAACCAACTGCTCCATATATGTAATGTTACAGTGGTGTTGGGTAAATTAATGTGCATTACTATAGCGTTATGGGATACTATAACGTCAATTTATGGGTTCACCGTAGCGGTAACCTTACCGATATGTGCGTCAATCTGTCGTAGCACGCTAATAGACATCATTTTACGTGGTCCCGGCTGCCCCTCTTACCTGACCCGATCAAAAGGCTGTCACTTTGTTAGAGGCGGGCTACGGAGTTCTGAAGCTAATTGTCGTCGCTGAGCATGTGGCCCGTCAGCTAGCGTGGACACCTGCAGGACGTGACCTCGCTTACTCTCTGTCTGCGGGGAGGCATTGGCTCAAGGTTTATGGATGATACACATAAGCACACAGAGCCACACACACACACACACACACACACACACACACACACACACACACACACACACAGGCACACACACACACACAGCCACAGACACACACACAGGCACACACACACACACAGCCACAGACACACACACAGGCACATACACACACACACAGGCACATACACACACACACACACACACACATAAACACACAGGCACACACACAGGCACACACACACACACAGCTACACACACACACACACACACACACACACACACACACACACACACACAGACACACACACTCTGTGAGAGCCACACACACAGGCACACACACACTGTGACAGGCACACACACAGGCACACACACACACACAGCTACACACACACACACACACACACACACACACACACACACACACACACACACACACACACACAGGCACACACACACACAGGCACACACACACACACACACACACAGGCACATACACACACACACACACACACATAAACACACAGGCACACACACACAGAGATGAGGGCCAAGGACCTTTAAACGTGTTTTCAGGCCTTGTCTGTTACACTAATGTGCCAGTGGTCTGCTACCCATGTCGTTCTGCTGCACTGCACTTGTCAGTTTTCGGAAATATTTGTCTGCTTAGCTAAATCTTCTACAGTGCTAGGGAAGCTTGTTTCTGCATTTTCTACATACGCTAACAAAACAGGTACACCCTCACAAGCAGAGTAGTTGACCCAACCGCGGTCATTTACCGTCTCACTTTTTCAAAAAAGATTGAATGTAAAACATCTGGAAATTTAGAATGTTGGAAACATTCAGTTGTACACAAGTGTAAGACATTCTGTAACACGAACTGGAGAAAATATTGTATTCATTAGATTGAGGTTCAATCAGATTTTCACACATTGGTGTGAACATCCTATTGGTGGAGGCATTCTCCTCAGCCCAGTTATGCTGTGACCGGGAATATGTCTCAAAATTGTGAATATATCTTCACTCGATGCTCAGCGCCTTCAAGCTACACAGCATTTTCCTCATTTGGTTGCACGGCCCAGCTTTATCATTTGGTTGCATGGCCCAGCTTTATAATTTGGTTGCACAGCTTTATAATTTGGTTGCACAGCTTTATAATTTGGTTGCACAGCTTTATCATTTGGTTGCACAGCTTTATCATTTGGTTGCACAGCTTTATCATTTGGTTGCACAGCTTTATCATTTGGTTGCACAGCTTTATCATTTGGTTGCACAGCTTCATCATTTGGTTGCACAGCTTTATCATTTGGTTGCACAGCTTTATCATTTGGTTGCACAGCTTCATCATTTGGTTGCACAGCTTTATCATTTGGTTGCACAGCTTTATCATTTGGTTGCACAGCTTTATCATTTGGTTGCACAGCTTTATCATTTGGTTGCACAGCTTTATCATTTGGTTGCACAGCTTTATCATTTGGTTGCACAGCTTTATCATTTGGTTGCACAGCTTTATCATTTGGTTGCACAGCTTTATCATTTGGTTGCACAGCTTTATCATTTGGTTGCACAGCTTTATCATTTGGTTGCACAGCTTCATCATTTGGTTGCACAGCTTTATCATTTGGTTGCACATATTTATCATTTAGCTATCATTTTCATTTCACTTCCTTTCAATTGCACTAAAGTCGCACATGTTAGCTAGACAGGAGCTTTCATTTCAGCCGGCTCCTGTCTATTGTTTCATTTTAGCTGTGTTCGCCTTGCATAAAATCGGCTTAAAAACACAGTCCTTTTTTAATAAAGAGTTTTCTTACTTCTTACAGGCTATAAATAGAAGTACAGTAGAAATTATGGTAATGTGGATTCTGCCTTCATGTTCTAAAAACGATCCCATTTTTTCAAATACATTATTTCAGTGCAGTGCTGAAACCACCATTCCACTATTGCAGTCAACGGTAAAAGCATGTCCCCTCATACTTAAATAACTCAACCAGATGTCCCCGGTAAGGTCAGACGGTTGGACCATAGTTCCCTCAAACTTAAATGACTCAATGGGATGTCCCCGGTAAGGTCAGAGGGTTGGACCATAGTTCCCTAAAACTTAAATGACTTAAGCACGGTCGAGGTGTGCAGTGAGTTTGGATATAGGATCTAAGCACGGTCGAGGTGTGTAGTGAGTTTGGATATAGGATCGAAGCCCGGTCGAGGTGTGTAGTGAGTTTGGATATAGGATCTAAGATTGGTCGAGGTGTGTAGTGAGTTTGGATATAGGATCTAAGATTGGTCGAGGTGTGTAGTGAGTTTGGATATAGGATCTAAGCCCGGTCGAGGTGTGTAGTGAGTTTGGATATAGGATCTAAGCTCGGTCGAGGTGTGTAGTGAGTTTGGATATAGGATCTAAGATTGGTCGAGGTGTGTAGTGAGTTTGGATATAGGATCTAAGATTGGTCGAGGTGTGTAGTGAGTTTGGATATAGGATCTAAGATTGGTCGAGGTGTGTAGTGAGTTTGGATATAGGATCTAAGCCCGGTCGAGGTGTGTAGTGAGTTTGGATATAGGATCTAAGCCCGGTCGAGGTGTGTAGTGAGTTTGGATATAGGATCTAAGCACGGTCGAGGTGTGTAGTGAGTTTGGATATAGGATCTAAGATTGGTCGAGGTGTCTAGTGAGTTTGGATATAGGATCTAAACAAGACTGTTATAAGGTTCCATTGCTAAGAAAGTGTTTGGTCTTGGTGTCAGAGTATTCAGGAGATATGTTTTGATGTATTGCAGAACCTGGAATTTTTTCCCTTGGTTTAAGAAGCTGAGAGAACATTATGTTGCCATACTGAAACAAAATGATTTCATGTTACGCCCTCTAAGCCTATATTGCTATATTCTCTCTCCCTTTTTCTTTTCCCCTTCTCTCAGCCCTGCTGTGATTTTTGTTATCTCTCTTTTCTTGTCCTCCTCTCTCCATCCCTGGTCTCTGATCGACTTACTCTCAGACATCTCTCATCCTTCGGTGATGATGAAGGATCCGTATCACTCTGACTGTACGGCTACTGTAACTCTGTCTGATCCCCAGGATCTGCCAATCACGGCGGCCCTTACTAAACCGCTCCGTAGCGCTTGTCTCGTCGGCTGTCAGACTCTGTGGTGGAATTGAAGAAAAGGTTGGGATTTGCATTGTCAGGAATCAAGTTGTGTCTCGACCCAGAGGACATGGGCATCCCAAGAAACTGCCTCCTATGAGATAGACGGCCCTCCTGGCATTCCGGAAGCCTCAGCGTAGCAAATTACATGATTGATTAGTATATGAAGTAGCGACCACAAATATGAACATGAGAAGTGACATGACCGCAATCAACATTAGGTTAGATTTGACAGTGGTATCCCAGGAGAATCGGACTTATGCTTGGTCTTGGATCAGGCTTCAAGGCAGATTATGGCTGTCTTTTATTGTCCTCCTGGAGTGCAGGACCATTTACCTGGCCTGTGTCCAGGGGCTATTGTAGAATTACAGGTCATCTCAATTAGAGAGGTACCCAAACATAGAGGAGCCTACGTGGCGACTCAGAGAGGTACCCAAATATAGAGGAGCCTACGTGCCGACTCAGAGAGGTACCCAAATATAGAGGAGCCTACATGCCGACTCAGAGAGGTACCCAAATATAGAGGAGCCTACGTGCCGACTCAGAGATGTACCCAGATATAGAGGAGCCTACGTGCCGACTCAGAGGTACCCAAATATAGAGGAGCCTACGTGCCGACTCAGAGAGGTACCCAGATATAGAGGAGCCTACGTGCCGACTCAGAGAGGTACCCAGATATAGAGGAGCCTACGTGCCGACTCAGTCACACCGCTGTGAGTCAGAGTCGTGGGCGGGGTTTACGTCTTTTGGCAGGCGCGCTCTCTGCTGACACCCCCTCCGCTTTCCAAACGGAGATGGATCCAATCACATCCACCACATGATGGTTCTTCGCCCCCCAACCGGTCCACTCTCAGCAGGGATGGAGATACTTCGGGCCCTGGGGTGGCAGAGAAGGACGACCACAAGCATTTACCCTGCCACTTTAGCGGTGCAGATTGGCTCTCACACCCTCCCTCTCACCTCCCCTCCACCATATGCCAAATGATTGAACTAAAGATAGATTTGTGAAATATAGAAATATTAACTTTCTGGATGAATCTCACTTGACGGAAGTGTTTCTCTCAATTTATCAGATTATATCGACATCTTATCTCATTTTTAAGTAATTATTAATAGAAATAATTGGTGATGCACAGTTACTTTTAAAATAGGACATTTGCAACCTTTCGACTCGAGATTTGTACCTCTTTAACACAATTGGCGAGGCTAGTCAAATTCTGATGACATTCATTAAAGTTCTAATCTTTAAGTACGAGATAGGATCCTAATTCATCTGTATTATCCAGAAAACGCTGGTCAGGCTGCACACTTGGGTGGAGGATGGAAAATGCAGAGATAGCCGTGCCACAAGGCTTGCTATTATGGCTCATTCGGGGTACATTGCCCTGGTTTCTTTTGCTGTCTTGCGCTTGGCAACACTTTAATTTTCACATTCAGAGGGGACACATTGATTACTGATAACATGGAACATCCAGGAACATACAGGCCTGAACACATCCTGTGCAGACCTACACAGGCCCTACCTGGGACCTCACA